GCCTCTGCACTTGACCTTGCGACCACAGTTTGCTTCTTACTTTTCTAAGAGATCAAGTTTCCTCCGAGGAGAACACTGTTGAGATATATAAAACCATTAAAAAGCCCACACTCACTAGCTTAAGCTTTTGGGTTGAATTAGTTCTTTACATGGTATCAGAGCTTGAGTGACTACAAGGTCACAAGTTCGATCCTCACCGCCCCCCACTTTAAAGTGGAATTAAAATAAAAAGCACAAAAAGGTAAACCAAAAATTGGGCCTTTGCAATTCCACGCTTCTAGCCCAAAGGGCTCTTGCGTGAGGGGGCGTGTTGAGATATATACTCCCATATTAGTTGTATGTGCAACTAATGTGGAGTTTATAAGGCCTTGGGCACTCCTACCCTTTGAGCTAGCTTTTGGGGTGGTGTATCTCAAGGTTCTTTACATAGTATCAGAGCCTCGTGTCCCGGGTTCGATCCTCGCCGCCTCTCACTTTCTTTCAAGTGGAATTTCTTTGTTCGCACAGGTAGGTGGGCCTGTGCATTGTCCACCCTTCAAACCCAGTGGGGTCTTGTGTGAGAAGGCGTGTTGAGATATATAAAACCATTAAAAAGCCCTCACCCACTAGCTTAAGCTTTTGAGTTGAATTAGTTCTTTACAAACACAATACCCCGAGGTAGATCGTCTGTCTGAAGGAGAACCTGCCCAGTCAACATCTGAATAACTAGATACCTTTCCCTTTATTTGTGTATAATAAATCTTTTCCTGGTGCTCTTTTAATATATCGAAGAATCCTGATAACTGCATCCCAATGGGAGTCACAAGGAGAGTCGAGGAATTAACTTGCCACACTAACTGCAAAAAAGATGTCTGGTCTTGTCACAGTAAGATAATTCAACTTTCCAACTAATCGGCGATAACGACCAGGGTCTGCCAATGGCTCCCCTTGTCCGGGTAACAGCTTAACATTAGGATCCATAGGTGTATCAATAGGTTTACATCCCAACATACCAGTCTCATATAGGATATCCAGTGCATACTTCCTCTGACAAATGGAGATGCCCTGCCTAGACTGTGCCACTTCGATCCCAAGAAATATCGAAGTTTGCCAAGATCTTTGGTCTGAAACTGATTGAATAAGTACTTCTTTAACTGATCAATCCCAACTTGATCGCTGTCAGTAGTAATGATGTCATCAACATAGACCAGAAGATAGATGCACTGGCCAGAAGAGCTATGCCTATAGAAGACAGAATGATCAGCTTTACTTTTGGTTAAGCCAAAGGATTGAACAGCAGAACTAAAGCGACTAAACCAAGCCCGAGGGGACTGCTTCAGGCCATATAAAGATTTACGAAGCTTACATACCATTCCAGAATTCTCCCCCTGAGCAACAAAACCTGGTGATTGCTCTATATATACTCCCTCTTGCAAGTCACCATGTAAGAATGCATTTTTGATATCAAGCTGTAGAAGAGGCCATTGATGAATGGCAGCAAGTGCAAGAAATAGGCGAACAGATGCCCTCTTGGCAACAGGAAAAAAAGTATCCTCATAGTCAAGACCAAATATCTGAGTGTATCCCTTGGCCACCAAACGAGCTTTGAGGCGATCAACAGTGTCATCAGGACCAACTTTGACAGTGAATACCCATCGACAACCGACAACTGACTTTCCAGGAGTAGCATGAACAAGATCTCATGTGCCATTGGAGTGAAGTGCTTGCATTTCATCAATCATTGCTTGACGCCAACCCGGATGAGAGAGTGCTTCACCTGTGGTTTTAGGAATAGAAACAGACAAAATACTAGAAACAAAAGTAAAATGTGGTGAAGAAAGTCTATCATAACTCAAGAAACTATAAAGTGGATAAGGGTTATGAGTGGATCGAATACCTTTGCGAAGGGCAATGGGAGTAATTTCTGATGGAGGATCCGGAGGGGAAGAGTCGACAGCAGCAGGCGGTGAGTTAGTAAGGGTCAAATCCGCAGGAGGCGCAGTCTGACGACGCTGATAGGTGAGAAAAGGACGGTCCTCAGGGATGGAGACAAGGGGCCGCTCCTCCGGGATAGAGTATCCTGCAACTGGTAAAGACAAATTAAGACAAGGAACATAAAGAACTTGATCAACTTGTGTTATCTGAGATGGGATAGAATGAAAAGGTTGTTAATCAAGGAAAGTGACATCAGCCGAGACAATATAACGCTTGAGATCAGGAGAGTAGAACGATACCCTTTTTGAAAACGAGTATATCCAAGGAGAATACACTTGAAGGCTTTGGATGTAATTTATCTTTTTCTGGAGTAAGATCATGAACAAAGCAGGTACATCCAAATACATGTGGAGGTAGAGGATAGGAAGGTGCTCCTGGAAATAAAACACTACGTGGAACTTCGTTATTGAGTACGGAAGAGGGCATGCGATTGATGAGAAAGCAAGAGGTGATTATAGCATCTGCCCAAAAACAAAGTGAAACATTTATATGTATTAGTAGGGTACAAACAGTTTCAACCAAATGTCGATTCTTACGTTCGGCCACTCCATTTTGTTGTGGTGTGTGTGGACAAGTGGTCTGGTGTAACGTTCCACGTTTCTCCAAAAAATTAGAAAACTCAAGGACACATATTCTTTTGCATTATCTCTGCGCAAAATTTGAATAGAAGCACCAAATTGAGTATTTATCTCAGTTCAAATTTTTTGGTAAATTGAAAATAATTCTTACTAACAAGCTGAGAATGATAAATATTCATTCATCAGCTTCAGGGGGAATATAGTAAATATTAGAATTATTTATCTGATCATTATTTTGTATCACTATTTTGTTAGAATACTCTAGAAGCTTATTTAGGCTTAGCCCATTAGATCTTTTTAGTCACTTTAAATAGAGAATTCTTGTACAGTTATACACACAATTTAATAATATACAATTCTTTCCTTTTAATTATTATATATATATATATATATAATTGTAAATATGAAAAATATCTGTTATGATTTGTTTCCTTATTTTTTAGGATTTTGTTTTATTCCTTTAGGCCCATTAGTATCTCTATATATCGTATTCCTTTGTGCAATTTTTTGAATATTATTTTCCAATTTTTCTCTTTTCAATTTGATATAAGAGATCTCGATCTGGGAGCCTTTTGCTTCTGTAGCCACCGCCTTTTCTGCGGATCCTTCTTTATGCCTTTAGGGCAGATCCTCTAGCGCAACTATCGTGCCTCAACTTCTTATCACTAACTGTCACTGACCGCCACCGGAAAACTTTACCCCCGACATTTTTGGTCAAGAAAGCAACTTTTTCACTTAGAATTTCTAGATCTACATTTCTACAACACCCTTGCATAGCAAAACTGCTCAACGCGTCTGCATACACACCGGAAAGTTTCAACTGTTGTTTTTGACGACGTGTGCAGCATTGTCTCAATCGTTGCTCACAAGCAAGTTAACGCTATAGTAACACGGGCTGCCTCTGGTTGATTAACGTTGATTATGCTAGATAAGTGACTGATTGACAACCTACCTCGGGCTATTGTATGTTTCTTTGTGGAAACCTAATAACATGGAGAAGTAAAAAGCAAAATGTGGTTGCTAGATCTAGTGCAGAGGCAGAATTTCGAGCCATGACCCAAGGTATTTGTAAACTGCTACGACTGAAAATTATTCTAGATGATCTCAGTATAAAATTTGAAAGAACTATGAAGTTACTCTGAAATAATTAATCCATCATCACTATAGTACATAATCCTGTCCAACAAGACCAAATGAAGTATATTGAGATCAACCGCCACTTCATCAAAGAGAAGCTAGATAGTGGATTGTTCATTACTTCATATATTCCTTCTAGTCACCAACTAGCTGATGTCTTGAATATACATTCCTCGGCTTGAGGGGTAGTTAAATTTTTTTTGTGCTACACTCACATAAAAGTGAGTTGGTCACATTATATTTTTCTTTCTCCTATTATAATGGGACCAACTCACTTTTATGTGAGTTGCAGAAAAAATTTGTCTGCAATAAAAGCATATATATATATATATATACATATATATATATATATAAAAGAGCTTTCATTCTCTTTACCTCAGTTTCCTTTTTTTCGTTTAGAAAGAAAATGAGAGGTAGCCTGGGATTTAATACTATTACTTAATTCATTCTTATGATTTTTTTTTTTATGAGTTTTATTGTTTGGTGTTAATTTTAAACCTTTTTGCTTGGTTATTAGTTGTCTTAATTTATCTTTTTCAATTACTTTTTTATCATGGATTGAAACCCAAACAAGGGAATAATCAAATTAGCCATGATGACAAAATTTTGACTTTGCGGAGGTGAGAAAAACTTCTTTAACTTAGCCAAGTGTGCTAGGAAACTCCAGAAGGTCTCCAATAGAAGTTGTTTCCATAATATTTATTTAATTATTATTCTTTTAATTGCTTAACATATTCAAAAGTTTATTCATCACATCCCTGTAAATAACAAAATTCCAAAATATGGCCTATGACCGGAAAAATTGAAGAATTACTGTATTAATCAACTAAATTATTTGAAGAAAGTAAAGTATCAATCAACTAAACTCTTCCCATACTCAAGTGTAACTTGGTCTAACTCCCATAGAAAATTGAAATGTCATATAAAAGAATAAAAAGAAAATGCCATATTTGCCAACAAAGATGGACACAGTTGGCTAAGGGTTTGGTCCATACCTCTCAAGGGCGTGGGTTCAAACCCCGCTAGTCGATGTGAGGACTTTGTTGGTGGGTAATATGTAATCTCTCCCAGAAATCCTCAAAGAGGTTGGGGGGTCTTCCCTGACCCTAGTGGGATACCAGTGTCTAATCCCACTTAAACTTTCTGATATTCAAAAAAAAAGAAAATGCCATATTGTGGAGATATATAGTCCCACATTGGTTGTATGTGCAACTACCAAGGTTCTTTACACATATTTTGGTCTAATTCCCATTAAGCCCTTTTCGATTTATTCTGCCTCAAAAATATTTAAATGAATATGTTAAGAAATACCTGCAAGTCATCCAGTTCACCAAATGAGAACTCTTGGACATCTATGTTACCCCCAACCAACTTCTTCTCTCCTAGAATAATCCATTCCCCTGCTACCATTTGCGAATCAGCATGGCTTATACAAAGTAATAGATTGAACTGCAAAATAAAAACAGACAGTTGTATTGAAGCGCTGAACAGAAATGGTTGATAGTGATTTACCTTTGACTTTTAAGGTCAATTCATATGTGTAACCGACACGTTTCTTGTTCCGAACTATCACCATGAATGCCTAAGAAATTTACAATCATGAAATATCAATCCATCATATACATGTATGATTGTTTTGGCAAAAAGTATTCAAAATCCCTTTCCTTTCATTTTCTTTTTGGCACATAAACTTGTAAAGAGCAGGTACACAACTATGTAACTAAGAAATCTAAGCTGGTGAAAATAGTCGTGTGTCTAATCAAACCAGTAACCACACGCCCTCTATAGATTGATGTGAGAATCAATTACAATAATTACATCCGAATTAGACACAACCAGATCCTAATCAAATACAGTTATATATTAATTAGATAATATCCTAACACTCCCCCTCAAGCTGGTGCATCTATGTCATAGGCACCAAACTTGTCACAAATATAGTAGACTAGGACTCAAACGAAACTTCTGAAATGCTTTCCTCCTAAGAGTGAGGAGGAGAGGACTTATCTTCAAAAAAGGTATCTCCCAGGGAAACAAGGAAATGGTGAATTGAAGGACGGTAGCATTTTATCCCGGGTGTAATTCAAGAAGAATCACTTGAATATGAAATAATATGTTGTGTATTAATCTGATATAAAGAGTTACAATATATAGAGACCCTAATGGGCTTAAGTGAGAAGCCCAGAACTAATCCGAAAGAATATTTACAGATAGGAAGTAATCTAATCATATCTATTCTAACACTCCCCCTCAAGCTGGTGCCTATATATTATAAGCACCAAGCTTGCTACAAATGTATTCAACCCGAGGACCTCTAAGAGCTTTAGTGAAGACATCCGCTAGTTGATCATTAGAGTTGAAAAAAACTATCTTGATTTCTCCTGACTGAATCCTTTCTTGAATGAAGTGACAATCAATCTCTATATGTTTGGTTCTCTCATGAAATACAGGATTATGTAGCGCAGCTTGATTATCACAAATGAGTGTCATGGGTTGTGATTATCACAAATGAGTGTCAAGGGTTGTTTCTGTTCACAAAGATGAAGCTCCTAAATCAACTGCTTTAACCAGATTAACTCACATGTAGTAATTGCCATTGCACGATACTCAGCTTCTGCACTAGATCGAGCAACAACAGGTTGTTTCTTGCTCTTCCAAGAGATTAAGTTTCCTCCAAAGAAGACACAATAGTCAGAAGTAGAGCGTCTGTCTGAGGGTGATCCTGCCCAATCAGCATCTGAATAACCACAAATTTCTGTATTTCCCTGATCCGAATACAACAAACATTTTCCTGGTGCTCCTTTGATGTATCGGAGGATCCTCACAGCTGCATCCCAATGAGAATCACAAGGGAAATCAAGGAACTGACTAGCCGTACTAACAGCGAAAGAAATGTCTAGCCTAGTCACAGTAAGATAATTGAGCTTCCCAATCAGCCTCCGATAACGACCAGGATTAGATAACGGCTCCCCCTGTCCGGGCAATAACTTGACATTGGGATCCATGGGTGTATCAATTGGTTTACACCCCAACATACCAGTCTCTTCTAGGATATCCAAGGCATACTTCTTTTGACAGATAGAAATGTCCTGTCTAGATTGTGCTACCTCAATTCCCAAGAATTTACGCAGCTTCCCGAGGTCCTTTGTTTGAAATTGACTGAATAAATATTGTTTTAACTGACGAATTCCAGCTTGATCACTCCCGGTGAGAATGATGTCATCAATATAGACTAACAAATAGATGCACTTATCAAGAGATGTGATCCTATAAAATACATAATGGTCAACTTTACTGTGAATTAAGCCAAACGCTTGAAAAGCAGAACTGAAGCGACTGAACCATGCCCGAGAAGACTGCTTGAGACCATATAAAGATTTGCGAAGACGACACACCTTCCCAGACTCCCCCTGAGCAACAAAACCAGGTGGTTGCTCCATATAAACTTCATGTAAATCACCATGAAGAAAGACATTTTTGATGTCAAGTTGAAGGAGTGGCTAGTGACGAACAACAACAAGAGCAAGAAATAAACGAACTGACGCCATCTTAGCGACCGAAGAGAATGTATCGCTATAATCAAGGCCAAAGATTTGAGTAAAAGTCTTTGCAACTAGACGTGCCTTGAGTCGATCAACATGGCCATCAGGTCCAACTTTCACAGGAAAAACCCAGCGACAACCAACTGTAGACTTCTCTGGAGGAGCAGAAACAAGGTCCCAAGTGCCATTGGAATGAAGTGCAGTCATCTCATCAAGCATCGCTTGGCACCACCCTGGATGGGAAAGTGCTTCACCTGTGGTCTTAGGAATAGAAACAGAAGAAAGACTAGAAACAAAGGTGAAATGAGGTGGAGAAAGACGGTCATAGCTCAAAAAGGTATAAAGAGGATAAGGGTTACGAGTAGTACATGTACCTTTTCTTTGAGCAATGGGAAGAGCCTCTGGTGAAGGAGCCGGAGGGGAAGAATCAACAGCAGTGGGCGATGAGTCAGCAAGAGGCGAGTTGACAGGAGGCACAGTTTTGCGATGCTGATAGGTGAGAAGTGGACAGTCCTCAGGTATGGAAGCAATAGGTTGCTCATCTGGAATAGAAGCACCTGCAGCTGGCAAAGACAAGTCAAAAAAAGGAACAGGAAGAACATGATCAACCTGTGACAATTGAGATGGGATAGTATTAAAGGGATGTTGATCAAGAAAAGTGACATCAGCGGAAACAAAGTGACATCAGCGGAAACAAAGTGACATCAGCGGAAACAAAGTAACGCTTAAGATCGGGAGAATAACAACGATAACCCTTTTGAAGACGAGAATAACCAAGAAAAATACATTTAAAGGCTTTGGATGTTAACTTGTCCTTACCAGGAGTGAGATCATGAACAAAACAGGTATAACCAAAGACATGTGGGGATAGAGGATAGAGAGGAACATCTGGAAGCAATAAGTTATAAGGAATGTCATTATTAAGCACAGATGAAGGCATACGGTTGATGAGAAAACAAGAGGCAAGGACTGCATCAGCCCAGAAGTGAAGAGGAACATGCATGTGAATAAGAAGAGTTCGTGCAGTCTCAATGAGATGTCTATTTTTACGTTCAGCTACTCCATTTTGTTGTGGAGTGTGAGGACAAGTAGTTTGGTGTAAAGTACCCTGTGTGGCTAAGAAATTAGAAAAGTCAACAGAAACATATTCCTTAGCATTATCACTACGTATAATACGAATAGAAGCACCAAATTGAGTATGAATTTCAGCAGAAAATTTTTGATAAATAGAAAATAACTCAGAACGGTTTTTCATTAAATAAATCCAAGTACAACGTGAAAAATCATCAATAAAGGTAACAAAATACCGAAAACCTAAAACAGACACACTACGACTAGGACCCCAAATATCTGAATGAATAATTGAAAAATGAGCATCAACTCGTTTATTGACTCGATTAGCAAAGGAGGAGCGTATGTGCTTCCCTTGCTGACATGACTGACAATCTAAAGTCTGAAGACCGGATAACAGAGGAACCATCTTCTGCAATTTTGAAAGACTAGGATGCCCGAGGCGACTGTGGATGAGTTGTGGAGATTCTATGAGAGAACAAGCAACTGAAGGACTCGGCACAACCAGGTAGAACAAACCCCGTGACTCACGGCCCACTCCAATCGTCTTCCCCGTACCCAAATCCTGCACAGAAACAGAATGGTTTGAGAAGGTGACAATATAGTTAAGAGAGTTTATCAATTTACTAACAGATATTAAATTATAAGGGATGTCAGGAATGTAATAGACAGATGTCAAGGTCAATGAGAAGGTTGGACAGATTTGTCCAATCCCATGAACAGAGGCCTTAGTTCCATCAGCAAGAGTAAAAGAGGGTAAATTATCAGAATATGTAAGGGATGAAAAGAGTTCCTTATTACCACAGAGGTGATCAGTAGCACCTGAGTCAAATATCCAAGGACCAAGTGATGCAGAATAAGAAACACAAGCAACGGGATTACCAGTTTCTGAAGCAGAGGCCTTCCTGAGAAGGGTCTGGAGTGCTGCATAGTTTTCAGAGGGGAGAGAGACTATACCATTTGAAGCAATATCCGATCGAACTATATTAGCAGCATGTGAAGGTTGCAGGTGAGGATACTTTATGTAGCAACGTTCCTCATAATGACCAAGTTGCTGACAATAATGACAACGAGTTCGCTGACCACGTCCTCCTGGGCCACGTCCTCCCTGGCCTCTACCACGACCACGTCCACCTCCAATGTTCCCGCGAAAGTCAGTACGAAAAAATAGAGCGGTGGAATCAACAACAGCAGACGATGCAGGAGCAGATTTCTTATTAAGATTCAGAAGACGCTGATACGTCATTGATAGATCAGGATCCCCACTAGTCAAGATAGTATCCCGAACATTATCATATTCTTCGGGGAGACCAGAAAGTGTGGCAACCATAAAGAGACGTTCCACCCGTTTTCGATATGCAGAAGCATCAGTAAGGTAGGGCAACATATCCAAATATGCCTGCATCAAAGATCGACTTTTGCCAACATATGTCTCCATCTGAGTGTCAGATGATTTGCGCAGATCCATAAACTGAGACATGATGGAATAGAGCTGCTGAACATCATTAGTGTAGAGGTGTTTTGCTTCCTCCCACACTTCAGTGCAAGTTTGAAAAGAATAGAAAATGTCCAAGACGACTGGATCACTAGACTGCCAAAGGATACTCAGAAGCTGGTTGTCAATCTTTTCCTAATAAGATTTTTCTTCATTAGGAACATCAGTAGATTTAGTCATGAGATGGTTCCCATGTCCCTGTCCAAAGAACCAAACTCGAACAGAGGTGGCCCAGTTATTGTAATTAACAGAACCCTTCAACTTTGAAGAGGTAATGGGCCCAACATTGGTGGAGATGATATTAGGAGAACTTTTGACAGGACAAGAGGGAGAATTGACCTCTGAATGAACAGGAGAAGTTGCTGCCATTATATTAAATCACAAGGGTATAAACCGAGTAAATAGGAACGAACCTGATCACAAATCAAGAAGAAGAAGAGGCGCGCACAAAAAGTTAGACCCACAAAGATCCAA